GACTTCCGGAATCCAGGAGCGGAAGACAGGGGTGGCTCACTCTATAATTGTCCTGTTCTGTACACTCCCCTGAAGCTCTGGTATGGGCCACTGTCAGAGGACAGGATACTGGGCAAGATGAACACGGTCTGACTCAGGAAGGGGACTCTCATGTTCTTTGCTTGGTTCCATTCAAATCACCATTGCTACCATTAAGTATTACCCATTGTCCCTGATCTGGGGAAGATATGGCACAATCTTGCCAGCTCATGGTGGATGCACATACAGAGGTTGTCCATGATACAGCAATTTCATGATCCAACTTCCTCATGTCAATCAGAATTAATCCAATGTAGACACCGCACTAAAATCGCCACACTGTCTGATTCAGAAAGTGCCTCTCAGACATGCCGCCAATACGATAAGGTGAAGACCATCACCCCAGGGCGAGAAGAGGTCATTTGCTGTGAAACTAGCAACAGAGGAGCTTGGTGGCATGTGCAGTGGAGTGCAGAGAATAAGCCAGACAGGCTACCTAAGTAATGCCCAGGGTACGCTGCGATGGTCGTGGGAGGGCTGTTTGCAATGTTAGGGTTATTACACTAGAACCTCCCTCTGCCCTGGTGCTGCACCATGTTGCAGGGCTGCACAGTGACTGGCTTGTCAAAACAAGTCTAATGCAAGGAGTTCGTTTAATGCCCGTGAACCATTGGGGGCATTTTTGTACATGGACACACAGCGTGTTACACATGATGTAGGGGAGGTCTCATAGTGTGTTAGCCTGGCAGATTTCTCTAGCTCAGATGAGGAGAGAGAGAGACAGCTGTGATGGGCAACTTCTCCCACATCTCCAAGGTGGTCTGTAGTCCCACAGGGTGTTAGGGGGCCCTCAGGATGGATCTGTACCTAGTCTTTGATTAGATGAGTTCTCCATGGCAGATTCTTAGTGCCAAGGGAGGTCTTTATGCCTGACCCCACTGAGCTAATCAGAGATGGTTTTACTGAAATAGCTAAATGTCAAGGTTCAAGGAACCTAGTTATCAGATCAGGATAAAAGCTAAACGGGTTTCACACGGGAAAGGTCGTTGCTGAACCAGCACACAGCGACTGTCAAAGCAATAGCACGGCAATAAACTAGCAGAAAATGAAACAGTAACTAGTGTGACCGCTCTTTCTCTTTGTTTTCACAGGTATCTAGAGATTAGAACATGGTATCACAAGTAGTGAACCATGGGACGGGTCAGGTCACTCTCCAGCCCGATATGGTTATCAAAATCTCTCTCTGTCTCTAATCTGTATTTCACTCACGTTCTTTGTGCTGGTAACTCTCTGCTTTCTCTTCCATGTTTAATGCCCCTCGGCAAGTTTGATATGAAGCTGACCCTTCTGCACACACCTCCAAGGAACCTCTGTCGAAGGGCCTGCTCCTTCCATGCCTGGCTGTGTGGGCAAGACTGAGTGTCTGTTAACGTTAGATGGCTCAGCTGTCCAGCCTGGAGGCTTCAAATGCCTGACTCTTTGGGACTAGTTCTGTGCCTGATCAGATAGGTTCGCAGACTTTTGGTGAGTCCCAGAGACCAGAGAGAGATTTCTGTGGCCGTTGTTCACTGAATGTGCAAGAGCCTGGCCAGACTGTTGTGTGATTTCAGTGGACAGGGAGGTGATGGGTGTGACATAGCAAGGTACAATCCAGACTAGTGGGAGTGGGTGGGGGGTGGGGGTTGGGCTGTGTCATCCCGCCCAGCAACCTTGGGTGCCTTACAATGGCTTGCTGAAGTAGCTCTCACCTGGGCCACTCACAAACAGCCTTCCAGCATTCAAAAAGTAATAGCAAATGTTTTTTAAGTACATCAGAAGCAGGAAGCCTGCTAAACAACCACTGGGGCCAATGGACAATCAAAATGTTAAATGAACACTCAAGGACATTAAGGCCATTTGGGAGAAACTAAGTGAATTCTTTGCATCAGTCTTCACGGCTGAGGTTGTGAGGGAGATTCCCAAACCTGAACCATTTCTTTTAGGTGACAAATCTAAGCAACTGTCCCAGATTGAAGTGTCATTGGAGGAGGTTTTCCAACAAATTGTTAAACTAAACAGTAAAAAGTCACCAGGACCAGATGGCGTTTACCCAAGAGTTCTGAAGGATCTCAAATGTGAAATTGCAGAACTACTAACTGTAGTCTGTAACCTATCATTTAAATCAGCTTCTGTACCAAATGACTGGAGGATAGCTAACGTGATGCCAATTTTTAAAAAGGGCTCCAGAGGTGCTCCCAGAAATTACAGGCCGGTAAGCCTGTCTTCAGTATTGGGCAAACTGCTTGGAAGTATAGTAAAGAACAAAATTGTCAGACACATAGATGAACATAATTTGTTGGTGAAGAGTCAACATGGTTTCTGTAAAGGGAAATCATGCCTCACCAATCTACTAGAATTCTTTGAGGGAGTTAAAAAGCATGTGGACAAAGGGGAGCCAGTGGACATAGTGTACTCAGATTTTCAGAAAGCCTTTGACAAGGTCCCTCACCAAAGGGTCTTAAGCAAAGTAAGCTGCCTTGGGATAAGAGGGAAGGTCATCTCATGGATTGGTAATTGGTTAAAAGATAGGAAACAAAGGATAGGTATAAATGGTCAATTTTCAGAATGCAGAGAGGTAAATAGTGGTGTCCCTGAGGGGTCTGTACTGGGACCAGTCCTATTCAACATATTCATAAATGATTTGGAAAAAGGGGTAAACAGTGAGGTGGCAAAATTTGCAGGTGATACAAAATTACTCAAGATAGTTAAGTCCAAAACAGACTGCCAAGAGCTACAAAAGGATCTCTCAAAACTAGGTGACTGGGCAACAAAATGGCAGATGAAATTCAATGTTGATAAATGAAAAGTAATGCACATTGGAAAGCATAATCCCAACTATACTTGGAGTCATTCTCTGATAACATCCACTCAATGTGCAGCGGCAGTCAAAAAAGTGAACAGAATGTTGGGAATCATTAAGAGAGGGACAGAGAATAGGACAGAAAATATCATATTGCCTCTATATAAATCTGTGGTATGCCCACATCTTGAATATTGCGTATGGATGTGGTCGCCCCATATCAAATATATATATATATAGGAATTGGAAAAGGGCAACAAAAATGTTGAGGGGTATGGAGCAGCTTCCGTATGAGGAGAGATTAATAAGACTTAGACTTTTCACTTTGGAAAAGAGAAGACTAAGGGAGGATATGATAGAAGTCTATAAAATCATGACTTGTGTGGAGAAAGTAAATAAGGAAGTGTTATTTACTCCTTCTCATAACATAAGAACTAGGGCTACTAAATGAAATTAATAGGCAGCAGGTTTAAAACAAACAAAGGGATGTATTTCTTCACACAGTGCACAGTCAACCTGAGGAACTCCTTGCCAGAAGATGTTGTGAAGGCCAAGACTATAACAGGGTTCAAAAAAGAACTAGATAAATTCATGGAGGATAGGTACATCAATGGCTATTAGCCAGGATGGGCAGGGATGGTGTCCCTAGCCTCTGTGTGTCAGAAACTGGGAATGAGCAACAGGGAATAGATCAGTTGGTGATTACTTGTTCTATTCATTCCCTCTGAGTCACCTGGCATTGGCCACTGTCGGAAGACAGAATATTGGGCTGGATGGACCTGTGGTCTGACCCAATATGGCCATTCTTATGTTCTTAACCCACATTATGAGTTTCTGTGTTTAACTGCAGCCTGGCAACTACATTCTGACTCTCACCAGCCTGGGTTACACCGCAGGGTGACCCCAACATAACCCCAGTCCTGGATTTCTCCCCAGAAATGTATGACCCCTACTGCCTCGCCCTCTCCTGGACACTACAAATATTTTAAGTCTATTATTCCTTTAGGGGAATAACAAACCAACTTATTATTTTAAATAGAATTAGCAAGACACTTAACTTAAACACACTGGATTAGGTAAAACATTAAAACAAGTTTATTAACTACAAAGAGATGGATTTTAAGTGAGTGCAAGTAATGAAGCATAGAATTCAGAAATGGTTGCAGGAAAAATAAAGATAAAATGCTTACTAGTGCCTAACAACAAACTATATTAGATTCAAGCAAAATTTCTCACCATAAACTTCTAGCAAGGTTATTGACCAAATTCTTCAGGGTAGAACCCCTACCCCCAAGTCCAACATTTGTTTCCTTTTGTCTTCTCAGATGCAGAGAGTGGGATGGGCAGAGGGCGTGTGTGTCTTGGAGTGTTTGTCCCTCCTTTTTATAGTTGTGGTCTGTGTTTTGAAAAACATTGCCAGCTGAGACCCAGGAGACAAAGAATTTATTTGGAAGGATGTTCCCTGCTGGTATTTTCACCCATATGAACTGCCTTTGTTTTCCCTTCCTGCTTGATGACTCTGGTTACTGATTAAATGCAAATGAAGGCAAGCACATATTCCTTTGTTGGGTGTGGGACTCTGGGGATTGTGTGTGGTTGATTAATTTCAGCCGTTTATATTGTCACTCTGTATTAGAGCTGGCATCAGGGAACTGGGTTTATTAGTGTATTTTTAAAAAACTGGCAGAGGTGCCAAGGATGCTGCATGGGCCTCTCTTTTATTAGTGCTCATCTAAACTGAAATAAATCAATGAAACAGTGAGGAAGTCGGATGGGTGTGTGTGCGCACGTGTGTCCATGCTGGGTATATTTTGGGGGGAAGAGGGGGTCATGTGCAGGTATGTGTCAGAGATTTGTAGGGGAGAGAGAGAAGGAATGAAAGGAGATGAGAGGGTTTCCTACAATGATTTGAAAGTTTGCTAAAGCTGAATCTGATTAAAGTACATTGATACACCCACAGACCTGACCTGTCCCAATCAGTTCCCTGATTTTAGGAAACTGCTTGACTTCTGTGGCCACAGCTCTCATTCCCCTACGCAACTCTGTGTCCCAGGAGTCTGAGATAATAGGGCGAGGCAGGGAGGACGTGGGACAGGGGGAGGAGGGGGAACCAGAGGGGAAATTCCAGAGTGGGGAGGGCAAGGACATGGATGAGTGAAGAGGAAAGATACAGGAAAGAGGACAAGGGGGAGGGGCAAGAGAACGAGATAAAAAGAGAGCCTTGGTGAAGAACTCAGTTCCACTTTCAGCAAACAGCCAAGCCAAGATGCCTAAGACCTTGAAAGATGCCCTGCAGGAGGTTCTGGATGAGCTGGGGAAAGAGGATTTCGAGCGATTCAAGGCAAAACTAAACAACCTTCCGGAGGTGCCCCAGGGCTGTAACAGAATCCCCAAGGGGAAGCTGGAGGAGGCAAACCGCCTCGCTGTGTGTGACCTGATCGTAAATTATTACACCACGGCGGGGGCTCTTCAGGTGGCCATGGGCGTCCTCAAAGGAATCAACCAGAACGAGCTGGCCACAAAGCTTCAGACACTCGTGTATAACTAGAGCTGGTGAGTAGATTCCCTCTTGCTTTGGGGCCTCAGCAACTTTACCTGTTCTTTGTCTTGTTAATTGTTCCCTGGCAGGACCCTGCCAGTCTCTCTCTGGAGAGAGGTGGCAACTGCAGCAGGGAAGCCGGATTTGCAGGGATCTCTGCTCGGAGTTTCTCCAGGTTAGAGAGAGCCCAGAGGCACCTGCAGGCACTAGGGGGCTGCAATATACAGCAGGTCCTTGGGGCAGGTGGGAGACCAGCAGCCAAGTCCATCCCTTGAGTGGCTCCGTGGGCCCCAGGTTAGAATTAAATGGTTTTCCAACCACATTTCTGTCCAGAGATCATGTAGGAACATGGGAATTGCCAGATTAGATCACACCAGTGATCCATAAACCAGCGACGGGGTCAGCACCAGCTGCTTCAGAGAGCCCTCTGTGAGGAGATTATTACTCCTGGGGGAATTCTGCGCCACTGCAGCGTAGCAGGAAAATGCCCCCCCACCCACCAGTTTCTCTTTACTTTCTGCAGAAAATGGTTTCTGTGGGGGTCTGGGGATGCCTCGGCCGCCCAGGGACATTCCCCCTCCCCTTCACTGCACAGAGCAGCAGGGGCTGGATCAGATCAACCCCCCAAAATTTCCCCTGGCTACAGGAGGCTCTGCACCACAGGGAGGGGGAAGTTAGCGGGGGGTCTCGGTGCACGAGGTGAGGCTTGGTGGGGTGGGGGTTCCCAGTGTGTGTGGGGGTGAGGCTCAGCGGGGATTTTGGGTGTGGGTGGGGGGTCTGGATGCATGGGGGTTGGGTGGACAGGGGGAGTAGCTCCCTATACAGAGACCCCTCCCCCCACTCCCGCACCCAGAATCCCCCCCCACCGAGCCTCCCAAACTCAGGCTCTGAGTCAGGTTTGAGCCCAATTCCGCCTTCTGTCCACACACCACATCAGTCTCACTCAGGTCAGCAAGCACTCAGGACCAGGTCCCAGGACACAGCAAGGTGGCTGGGTCACAGCCCGAGTCCCACTGTGACTCGGGTCCAAACCCGGCCATTCTGCAGTGTCGATGCAGGTGTCGCTGCAGATGCAAATCAGAAGATCTACGTAGAACAATATGGACACATACATCAGCATGGCTGTGAGACCCGGGTCCAGCAACCAGTAAATCGTGTATACCCAGATTTACAGTGCTGTGTGGATGCTCAAGTGCAGATTTGGAAACACCGAGTCCGCAAGCCCGGGTCCCACAGCCCTGGGTTTACAATGCAGTGCAGACATACCCATAGTGGGACCCAGTCCCTGCCCCACTGAGCTCACAACCTACACAAAGGGCGGGATAAAAGGATGTTACACACACGCTGATCCTTGGCAATGATTATAATTTTGGGGGTTACTCTAGTTATGCAGGATTTTGTTATTTAAACACAAAGATACACAAAGTTTACGTGTGTGTGTGTAAAATACACACACAATTGGTCACCCTGGAGGGCAGGAACAATACTGGATGTATGGCATAGAAATGAGCGAAGTAGTCATTCACATGCAACCATCAGACAAGGCTCCCTGTAGAGGCAGGCAGCTACCTACTCAATTGTGAGTGTCTCACAGTGTCGCTTTGAACTGGGGAGGCAAATGTGGTTCTGGAGTGTGGGAATTGATGCAAATATGCTAATGTCTGCAAAATGTCACCCTAGATGGGCATCATGTGGCATTGATGACAGAGTGAAAGGACACATGCTGCTTCTCTCCTCATCGAGCTATGAGAAGATGCAAGAACTCCCCAAACCACCTCTCACCCACCTCTGTGTCCAGCCCACAGCCTGTACCAAGGAGAGAGTCTCGCCAAGGACATCCTGATGTGCATGAGACACCCGACCCTGCTGTCTCTCCAGAGCCTGCTTCACTGTGACTCATGTCACCTATCGTGCAGCCTTCCCCTGTCCCAGCACAGCTCTGTCCCGCCTGCTCTGCTACGGGTCTGTCAATAAAAACCTTTGAGCGTTTGAGCCCCATGCTGTTGTGTGCTCCTGATTTGTGTAGCTTTGCTGGGGGTCAGACTGCCAACCTCCACCCCACATTGCTATCGACCGTGGGTAGGGCACTGTGTCCCCACATGCTGCCCCACACCAATCTGCCCTAGAGGGGACCCAACCCTCTGCTGTGAGCTGGCAGAGCAATATCAATGGCTTCTTTGGCCAGCCTCTGCCAGTGTGCAAGGGGTCTGATGGGGCCAGTCGTGTGGGGCTAGGGGACCCTTCTGCACTAGGACAGCAAGGAAACCTTCCAGACTCATCTCCATTGCGGGCTGTAGAACGGCCAAAGGACAGTAACTGCTATGGGTCACAGCAGCGGGGAATAGATGTCACAGCGGGGTCACAGCCGAGCCACTGGGCACGTGGTAGCTGTGGGCTGGGCCAGTAAGAAGTCTGTGGCCTGGGCTCAGGGCTTCTGGGCTTTGGGCTCAGTAAACAGTCAATAGCTCAGGCTCCTTGGCCTATGGGTTAGTGCTCGTCCAGCCCTGAGTGTGGGGCCAGGGGTTGAGGGACCCGGGCCCACCCTGCTCCACTAGGTCCTAGCTCAGGCCCTAGCAGCGATAGGGGATCCCGTTGCTGGGCTGGTGGGGAAACGTGGGGGTTGCTGCCTTGCCTCCCGGCAACACAACAGGCCCAATGTCTCCTTTCCCTGAGCCACTGCCTCCTGGCGCCTGGTGGGGCTGCTCCACAGCCAGGGGAGCCTGGTTCCCCATCTCCACGCGGAGCGGCTCTCTCTCCCCTCCCGCTCTGGGTTCCTCTGTCTCCTGGGGCCACGGCTGGCCTTTTCTCCAGGCCGACTTAGAATCATCATTGTGCCCCCTCCATGAAGGGCTGGCTGGGGGAGTCTATCCCCAGCCCTGCTCCTTCTGCCCGAGGCCCCGCTCCTTACAGAGGCCCAGAGCTGCCCCATCCCCCAAGGACGCCGACACCGGGCGCACCGGTAAGTCTTCCCATTTACTTTTATGCCGGCAAGTGAGTATGTTTCCAGTGGGGTCCTGCAGGGATCAGTTCTTGACCTTACGCTATTTAACAGAGAGAGAGAAGGAAGGAAAAAGAACGAACTTTCTCCCAGCAGGCAGCTGGTCTGCCACGAAATGTCTGTACCTATTGCAGGCAGATTTGCGATTCCAGGACCGGACTCCTGAGTCATCTCAGGGCCCATATGTAAATCCGTGGTAGAGACCATCCTCGAATGGAGGGATCACCAATGAATGAATGATTTAACATTTTTATCAATGGGCAGGTGACACAATAATTGGATGAGTGAAGAGGACAGGTCACTGATACAGAGTGAGTTCAATTAGCTGGTAAATTGGGCTTAAGCAAACTATACATTTTAATAGGGCTAAATGTAAATGTGTCTGGAGCTACAGACAAGAGGCCCCCACAGCTGAGAACCTGCCTGAAGCTTGGAAGGGACAGAGCAGCTGACTGGGGACGCCCCAGGAGGAGCACTGTGCCAGGGAGGAATTGCCCAAGAAGGACAGGCCGGAGCTGGACCCAGTATCACGGCTGCCCAGAGCTGTATGGGGCTGAGAGTACTGGGGACTGTGACCTTGCATTGGGAATAAGGAGGGAGGCGGCAGCTAGCTAAGTGGGAGGTGGTTGCTCGGTGTGGGTTTGCAGACAGTGGCAGAAGAGGGCACTGGAGCGGTTTCCTGGCACCGGTGACCAGGAGCATCCAAGACTCACCACTTGACTGGAACTCTGCTCAGGCCTTCTGAACTCGGAGTGCAGATGTGTTGCTCGGTGTCTGTCCTTTCAGACTGTGGTACCACTGGGCATGTGGGGCCTCGCATTCGATGTAACCCTGTTTTATCGCTTCCCCATCTTTCCCTTTGTTGTTTTTCTCCTTTCATCCCTCTGTACATTAATAGTTCCCTGTCTTATATCCATTGTACTATTCTGGTGTGTGTGTGAATGTGACTGCTCAGGACAGGGTGGGTGGGGGGTTGGAACAGGTGCCCCTGGGGGAAGAGGGAGTTTTCTTGCTGCATTCCTGTGCATGCCTTTTCTCAGCCAGAGTGTAGTGAGGCAGCTGCCCCACTCTGGCATGGAAGGGGTTAAAGCAGGCCAGAAAGGCTGCGCAGAGCCCCAGCCAACCAGGAAAGGGCTTACCGACAGCCAATCAAGGGGAGGCTTCAAAGCAGCCAATCAGGGCCAGGCTGGGCCCTATAAGAAGGCTGTAGGGTGGCGAGGCGCTTGTTCTCTCCCTGGATGGCAAAGGGAGAAGAACTGGCTCTTAGGGAAGCACGCAGGGCAGGGCAGGGCAGGGCAGGGCAGGTAGAGATCTAGGCTGACAACTACCAGACTGGGGCCCTGACGCAAAGGGCAGAGAAGGTGCTGGGGCCGTGGGGAAGTGGCCCAGGGAAGCAGGTCATAGAGGGGAGTTGGAGGAGGGCAGTAAGTGGCTGCTACTAGAGGGTCCCTGGGTTGGGGTCCAGAGTAGGGGGCAGTCCTGCTCCCCTACTTTCCCCCCACCTGGCCAGTGATGAGAGTGGCTAAGCCAGACTGCAGTTGCCCTTGGAGGAAGGGGCGAGACTGAAGACTGCAGTGAGCCACTGAGGCAAGTGATAGAACCAGAAGCTGCTGCTCCCCTGGAATAGGGGTGGGGGAGAGCCAGTGGAGAGGGCCCAGCTGGAGGGCAGTGTCCAGAAGTGGACACAGTGGTCTGGGAATGATGTGAGTCTCACTGTGAGGATGATGGAGACGGAGTAAGGGTGAGTGGGACACCACTAGCGAAGGCACAGTGCTGAAGGAGCTAATTCCCAAAACAACCAGCAGGAGGCGTTGCAGCGGTAAAACCAACCCGGATACACAGAGCCACCTGTGGAGCAGACTCCATCTTCTCCATGAGGGCACTATAGTTACGTTAATATTATATCATTATATATTTGTAATCAAAATTTTGTGCAGTATCATGTCAAATGCCTTACAGAAGTCTATTGCATCAACACAATTACCTTTATCAACCAAACCTGTAATCTTGTAAAAAAAAAGACTATTAAGTTAATGTGACAGTCTTTGGTTTCCATAAACGTATGCTGATTTGCACTAGTCTCTTTACTCTCCTTTAATTATTATAAATCGAGTCCTGTATCAGCTGCTCCATTATCTTGCCTGAGATCCATGTCAGACAGGCCTATAGTTACCATTCCATTTACCCTTTTAAAAAACTGGCACAAGATTTGCTTTCTGCCAGTCTTCTGGAACTTCCCACTGCTCCAAGACCTATTTAACACCACCCCTGCACCTCCCTGCCCCATCCTACTGTGCATGCACAAGTTTACATGGGGGCAGACCCCCCTGAATATTTGCATTGTGAACGTGCTTTCCCCCCCCCTTCTCCTGGTTCCACCACCCCAGTTCATGCGATGCTGTCACCTGTTCTTCTGGGGGTATAGGGAGCAGAAACGATGGAGTTTTCCATGGGATGGAAAGGCTGCTGTGTCTGGAGTCTTTGGGCATTTAGCGCCATAATCCTCTGGACCATTTGCATCCATCGTCAATGTTAGTGACAGGTGTGGTTGGGTGAAGGGAACACTTGCACATATGTTGTGAGGATCTGCCCCCTAGTTGAGTGAGTTTTTGATTGTTAACGGCATTGATGTCTTCTCAGGATGTATACTGTTCTGAGTCATCCTCGAAGATGACGCATGTGGAGTCTTACATGCTTTATAGCAAAGGTGTCTGCCACCATACGCCCCAGTAGTTGGAGACAGGTTTGGGCCTTCATGTCCTGATGCACTTCCCACTGCACCTCTTGGTCCCTTTGCCTCTCCTCCCGCATCCGACCTCTCCATCTTTGTCTTTCACTCTGCTCTTGATCATTCAGCCCCCTCCAATCCCTGTGTTTGCAGTCACAAGCTGCAGGGGACTGGAGAATCTTGGAACATCTCCCTGGACTGCTTCTTTCTTCACGTGAGCTGCATCAGGTGCTCAGCGGGCGTGGAGGGGGCACCTCTCAAGGGCACCCCGGCAGAAGCTGCTGATAAAAACAGACTGAATCACTGTTAGATTTACAGTCGGAGCAGAAGGGGGAAAACTCCCCTTATGTTATTCCCACAAAGATCTTTATTTAATAATGCAAATGGTCACTTTATCCTATCTCCTAGAACTGGAAGGGACCCTGAAAGGTCATCAAGTCCAGCCCCCTGCCTTCACTAGCAGGACCAAGTACTGATTTTGCCCCAGATCCCTAAGTGGCCCCCTCTAGGATTGAACTCACAACCCTGGGTTTAGCAGGCCAATGCTCAAACCACTGAGCTATCCCTCCCCCTCTTTAGCTTTGGGACAGCCCATCACAGTGCGGCTCTTCAGCTCAAACCAGAGTACAGAGGAGTATGGGAAGATGGGAACCTATTATACTGGAGGTTTTCATGCCAGCAGCCCCTGGGTATAAGTAAAGGGAAAATGCAGTGAATTGAATATTGTCACAGGCAGTGGTGATTTTGGCTGATATCTCATTCCTGAGGTTGACCAAAGCTCAGAGAATGCAGCTGCTGGTAGCGTCCCTAAGCTGCCCAAGCCTAAATGCTGCTAGCCCACTTAATGCAGTGTGCCGGTGGATCTCCCTGCAGAGTGGCACGGGAATGTCTCCTACCGTGGGGGAAGAAACAAGGCTACCATCCCTCACAGTGATTTGTACAGTAAATGGTAAAAGGGCCATCCCTGTATGGATGAACATAGTACTCTGCATGAGGAAAACTGTTGTCCTCCATGCCTAGCAAAAACAGGAAAAAGAAAGGAAAGGTGAACACGGCCTCCACCTCTTCTTTCTACCTCAATTTGAGCACGGGCCAGGGATCTGTTGTGGATTGCGTAATTAGGACTGCTACAATAATCTTTTTGAATTCATTTCATAGCATATAGCAGTTGATTGAAGTGGCAACAATAATGTATTCCAGAATATTAATTTTAATTGTATTCCCGGTGCTCTTCTGAACATGAGGAGTAATGTACCGATACACGTACCTGAGCTCCCTTCACCGTCATCCCCGGGCTCATCTGCGCTCGTGTGATGGGACTGGCTCAATTCCGGCAGAGTTTCAAGCAGCTCCTGGCTCCCAGCATGTTTTGTATTCCCCTCTGCTGCTCACCCCCTTCTCCTCCTCCTCACTGTGCATTGTGGGGGATCCCATGCCTAGCTCTTGCAAAGTGGTCCTGGTCAGATTTCGGGTGCTGGTAGGGGGTGTAGTTCATTGTAGAAGTGGCAGGTCTGCAGGGGAGCCCCAGATGTGGTGGTGGTCTCCCTGGCCTGCTGCATGCTTGCCAAGGTGGACAATCAGGAAAAGGCATTTCCAAAACACAATGAAGTTTTTCAAGGGGACGGAAGGAGACTTCTGGTGTCTGTGACCCCTGGGCAATGGATTTCACAATGGCAACCAGAATGGTCACTGTCACGGGGGCAACCAGGGCATTGTGGGACAGCTGCCGGAGAACTGTTAGGATCAACACAGGTAATGCAGTGTCTAGACTAGAAATAGGTCAGCTCTGGCTCGGTCATCTGGAGAGGTGATGTTATGTTAGCAGGAGACTAATGCAGGTGTGGACACATGTAAAACTAAGCTGAAACAAGCTGACTTACACTGACATAACTTTGTAGTATAGACAGGTCTATGGATCTTACATCTACACTATTACCTTTATCAGCCAAACTTGTAATCTCATGAAAAAGAGTATCAAGTGGGTTTGACAGGATCTATATTCCACAAACCCACTGTGATTAGCATTAATTTTATTACCTTAATTACATTTTTTATGAATAGAGTCCAATCTCAGCTGTGCCATTATCTTGCCCAGGATTGATGTTAGGCTGACCAACCTATAATTACCTGGGTCATCCCATTTGCCCTGCTAAAATACTGACACAACATTCCCTTTCTTCCAGTCTTCTTGAACTTCCCAAGAGTTATTGAAAATCAACATTAGCACTCCTCTGCCAGCTCTTTTAAAACTCTTGGATGCAAGTTACCTGGATGTGGTGATTTAAAAATGTCTAACTTTAATAGCTGCTGTTTAACACCCTCCAGAGTTACTAGTGGAATGATAAATAGAGAACAAATGTATTCAAGTGGGTAGGGGGATAATAAAATCAAAACTGCAGGTTGCAGATAGGAGTGGGGGGGTTGAAAAGAGTTTGGGGGAAGGGGGGGACTGAGAGACAATTAAAGTGAAACCTGATCCTAAAGGGTCAGAAAAACGTGAACTCGGAAAGGAATTGGCTTTGTATGCAGTTCCCAAGGGCTCTGATTTACGAAGAGAGAGGATTATATTCTGTCTGTCTGAGTTGTGCTTAGAATTCAGAGAACAGGGAGGATGCAGAGATGAAGACGCAGTGGGATCCCCTGTAGAGAGGAGGTTGATCTTCCCCCACTGGCTCATTCCTGACCAGCCACTGTTGCCCTGCGAAGTCTCTCTGTCAGGTCTCTCTGGTTGATAGCTTCCAGCACCATCGTGGTCACCCTCACTGCATTGTGTCCCCCGTAGTGACTGATCAGCAGCTCAGTGAGCTCCACCGGCTCTGCTTTCTCCAGGTCACCTCGAGGTATGTGGCTGTGGTATCCCTTTACCAGCTTGATGTCAGTCAGTTTGCTCTTGAACTCCTTCAGCTCTGCCTCTAGGAGGTTTTTCAGGGTGTCCAGGAGGTGATCTCTCATTGTCTTCCCTGTGCCACCTCCTAGAACATGGGCCAACAAAGTACAGTCCAGCCACTCCCCACTCAGGTACCATTCCCCGCTCTCCTTCACTCCCAGGCTCTCCCCCTTCATGTAACACCTCTCTCCTCTACAGCAAATGCTTGGTACCTCCTCGCAATCCCAGTGCTCTGTACTCAGTGCCTCACTGCCTCTGGTCCAGTCTGTGTGGTTCCCCTTTGCTCACCCCTCCCCATGCCTCTGCTGTCCCCTCCCACAGATACCTCCCTAACTCAGTTACCTTGACCCTCTTCCCCTCCTCGCTGGAATACCTCCCAACGCCCAAAGCCTCTCTTCTTTCCTGTCAGAATTCCCGCCCCCCCACCCCCATCCCTCTTTTGATGTCCACTCACTCCCTGAACCTGCTCTGAATTAGAATCCTGGGTCAGGGCAGGACTACTGCCTAGTGGTTACAGTACAGGGGGAGAATAGGAGTCCTGGTTCTGCCATTGACTTGTTAGGTCTTTTTTCTTCTGTAATTTCTGTTCTACTAAAATAAGGGCTCTGTAAATCAGGGGAGATGAACTGACCTGTGTGGCGTTCTGTTGATGGTGAACTGTGCGTAATGTCACCTGGAAGGGGGGAGGGAAGAAAAATGAAACAAACTTTTTTATCATAATTTTCTGTTTACTCTGCTCGCCTCACACCATACAGGGCACTTGCAGATCTGATTGGGTAAGCCAGTCACATGGCAGTGTGATTATCTTTGGAGCTGAGAGAATGATACACCAGTTAATGAGTTATTCAGAGTCCCCTAAAGGATCTGTTCCTGGCCACTGTCAGAGACTGTACCCAGATATCAGACTCAACAGGTGTGGCAATGCCTGTGTTCTTAGACAGCTGCTCTGTGTCCCCCCGCAGAACACCAAATAGAAATTTACACACTGAACACACACATACACACTCATCTGGCATCTGGTGAGTGCAAGTTACCGTGTGCACCCAGTGACATGTCTCTGTACAACAGCACTTATGTCACCGCTGACTCTGCCCAAGGTGCCCGCTAGGCTCGTGTTTTTAAAATCTTTTTCCTTATTACTTTTTCAAGAAATCTACGAACAAACCCACTGTAAAAACGAATGTGTTGTAATTAAAACAGCAGTAAGTGATCTCAAGATGACAAGCACACACAGCTGTACCTTCAGGCTTTTAGCTTCTGGTTATTATTATTGATACGTCAAACGCCCAGTACAGGATGATAAGCTCAGCGCATTGTAAATGTCTGTAATACTGTTGCTCCGTTGGCTGGGCAGAAAGCTGTAATTTTGAGCCCTGCAGGGTAGTTTCAGTTTGGACGAGCGATCAGTGATAGAAGTCTGGTATACTTTTGGTGTCATCTGTTTATGCCCAGAAACAGACACCGCGTCCTGCTTCCCTGACCAGCAGGAGGAACGTACAATTCATGGGCTTTAGCAGACATCCCCAACCAGACACGCAGCCTGGTTCCCAATAAGCAGCTAGCTCGTCTGCCTCTGCTTCCTTCTAGGGTCAGCCAACCACTGCCTCTCTAATGGCCGACCCACTGCGACCCCCAACCACCCAGCACCAGGTCGGCTTCCGGCTCAGATTGCCAGCTCTTTGGGACAGGGACAATCTCTAGCACAGTGCAGTCCTGGTCCCTGAATAGAGCTCCTGGGCATTACCATAATGCACTTATAAATTAATGTACTGCACCTAGCACAATTGGGTTCAGGGTCATGACTGTGAGTCTCAGGCCACACAACAAATAATAATGGGCTTGCCCTGCAGGCTCCCATCTGCACTACAAAACCTTTTCAATTGCTCCTGCTGTTAGGTAAGAAGGCAAATGCTTTGCACCCCTGATGGCAGCCATTAGCACCTCTCAGCACCACAGTAAGTTTTAGTAATAATATGTGAAACCCATTGTACTACAAACATAGGAATGGCTTGTGGGGACACCCAATTTCAGTGTATTTCCCCCATTTTAGTATTTGTATTGTGGTAGCATGTAGGAGTCAGATGGATGAATATCTTCAATACCAGGCAAATTGGTTAAAACTACAGTAAAGAACAGAATTATCAGACACACAGATGAACACGATTTGTTGAAGAAGAGTCAAGATGGTTTTTGTAAAGGGAAATCATGCCTCACCAATCTACTAGAATTCTTTGAGGGGGTCAACAAACATGTGGACAAGGGGGATCCAATGGATATAGTGTACTTAAATTTTCAGAGAGCCTTTGACAAGGTCCCTCACCAAAGGGTCTTAAGCAGAGTAAGCTGTCATGGGATAAGAGGGACGGTCCTCTCATGGATCAGTATCTGGTTAAAAGATAGGACACAAAGGGTAGGTATAAATGGTCAGTTTTCAGAATGGAGAGAGGTAAATAATGGTGCCCCCCAGGGGTCTGTACTGGGACCAGTCCTATTCAACGTATTCATAAACGATCTGGAAAAGGGGGTAAACAGTGAGGTTGCTAAGTTTGCAAATGATACAAAATTACTCAGGGAGTTCAAAGCTCGCTGTGAAGAATTACAAAGATCTCACAAAACTGTGAAAGGCAGATGAAAACAACAAAATGGCAGATGAAATTCAGTGTTGATAAAAGCAAAGTAATGCACATTGGAAAACATAATTCCAATTATACAAACAAATGATGGGTTCTCAATTACTTATCACCCAAGAAAGAGATCAGGGATTCATTATAGATAGTTCCCTGAAAACATCTGCTCAATGTGCAGAGGCAGTCAAAAAAGCGAACAGAATGTTAGGAACCATTAGACGAGAGAGAGAGAAAATAAGACAGAAAATATCATAATGCCACTATATAAATCCATGTTATGCCAACACCTGGAATACTGCATGCAGTTCTGGTCACCCCATCTCAAAAAAGTACAGAGAAGTGCAACAAAAATGATTAGGGGTATGGAACAGCTTCCATACAAGGAGAGATTAAAAAGACTGGAATTATTCATCTTAGAAAAGAGATGACTAAGGGGGGATATGATAGAGGTCTATAAAAAAGACGGTTACTCACCGTTGTAACTGTTGTTCTTCGAGATGTGTTGCTCATATCCATTCCATTAGGTGTGTGCGCGCCGCGTGCATGATCGTCGGAAGATTTTCTACCCTAGCAACACCCGGCGGGTCGGCTGTGGAGCCCCCTAGAGTGGCGCC